TAACAGTGCTCCCATGCTAACAATCTCACTTTTGTTTTTATGCTGTTAAACAGTAGCAAATAGGTTGAACCCTACAAATGCAATCATTTGGTATCCACAGAAATGCACTTCAGTTCAATAGTTGGATTTATGGGCAATTCTTTGTGTTTGAGTTTTCTAGCTATTAACATGGAGATAATGACTGAAATAAGACTATATGAATTAAAATGTCTGGTGTAAGCTACTGTTTACTGGAAAGAACACCATGTGCTGTGGCTGTCCTGACCATGGAAAGTGTCCAAAGAAAGATATTGATACGATTGAAAATGTAGTCAAAATTACGCTATACTATTTGGATAAGGAATCACATGTCCTTCACAGCTGTAGTCACAGGACAGAGGCAGGAAGCTACACACTCTTACTGTGTTTTTCTTTAGCAGCCGATGAACCACGTCATGGCTGTTTTCTTGCCTTGCTCTCCACAGCTGTCTGCAAAGTTGATTAAAACATTTCTTTTAGTAATCCCTGTGTAATGAAGCTCTCTCTTGAGATGGGACCTCAGTCACTTCATGAGTGTGTGTGTGTGCTTTTCACATTGTGTACTTTGGGTCAGTTTTGTCTCCTCAAGATGGAGGAAATGGGACAGTTTTGTATGAGTATAAAGTTTTGGACTGTTGTGCAATTCCACAATATGATCATATATGCTTGTTTGATGTAAATTTGCTGTATTATGTTTGTAGTTTTATCAGTTTGAATTGCAGTTGATTTGATGCATGAAAAGAGGAGGTTTTGAAATATAATTTTACATCGTATTTATTTATTTGAAGGAGACTGTGTGTGCTAATGAACTGCTGTAAATATGTTAGAGTTACCTCAATGTCAAACGGATAGCTGTTCGTTTTTAACTCAAATTTGTGTCTGGCTTTACCTATTTATCTCCAAGAGCCAATAAAGATTCGTTTTTTTATTGAATTGGAATTTAATTGCATTCAACTAATTTTCCAGCTAAATGATCACCGGTCTCACATGTTCCATTCTGTAGTGATTTTTTTTTTAAATAACTTCTTTCACTAGCGTTTCTAAAATATAGTACAATTTTGTTCTAAATTGGCTTGTCTCTGTGTTGAATGGGTGAGAGAGGTTTATAAGCATCTTGGTCTAGCCCTTTTTCAAAACAAGTATGTGTGTGTCTGTTATGTTGTTCTGTGAAGTTGCTTGTACATGTTTTGAAATATAATATATGATATATTGGAAATCTTGATGGCTTGTTGTAATTTATTAAGTGTCTATAACTGTTGGAGAGATAACCGATGAACCTCCCAAAAATGTACAGTTTTTTAAAAAATAAAACTTCCCTTTATTATATATACTTTCTTGTAATGTGTTCTTTTGTATTAATGAAAGAAACGTTTATTCCTTCCGTAATGTACTAATATTTGTAATATTCAAGTGAAATAGAATATTCTCCAATTGACGTTCTTCTTCCCTCACTTTCCAGTCTATTTCCCTCCAAGGACCTTTATAATCACCAGCACTAACAGATTAGTTCAACAATTAATCTGAATGTTTATATTTCCTAATTAAGGCGAGGTGTGACAGTGAAGGATGAGTGGTAAGTCTAGCTATCTCCAGTCCTGTGACGGTGGCCATCTTCCTCTGTATCACAAATGTCAGATGGTAATTGATGCATTGGCTTTGTGTTGGCTTTTGTAAATACCAGATAAGAGAAAGAGAAAGGAGAAGTCTGTAATATACCCTGATCTGTCTTTCTCCTCTACAAACATTTTGAGGACTGTCTTTCAGTTCATTTTGTTGCTCCTTTTTGTCAATAATTAACCAGACAGACACAAACCATAAACTTCTATATTTCCCTCAATTCCCAGTCTATTTTAAAGCATTCTAAATCATCTAGTTAGTTTTAGTGGTGTGGAGCAGCATAATTTAACAATCACAGCCAGTTCTCTATCGTCCAAAACATGTTCCGAATGTATTTTTATTTTTATTTTTTTAAAGGTTTTTAGGTTCCAATTATTTCTTTCATCAATGTGGCCCAACCAGCTCTTGTCTCACAAAAAGCTACACATGGCAGGGCCTGGTTTTTACTGCAATGGGAGATCAACATGTTATGTGCCTTTTGGGTGTAGCGATATAAGCGATATATAAACACAAGCTCAATTCTTGCAGTTTGTGGTAGGTCTTCAAAATAAAAAATTGCGAAATAAAATAAACAACATTAAAGAATACACATCATCAAGTTGTGGAAGCCATACCCAAAAGCTTATTCAATCTGAAAAGCAGAGTTATGCGGTTGACAGAGGATTGAATATTCCTTGCATTATACATAGATTGATAAGGTCTGTAGCATGTTTGATTTCCTTTCCATGTTAGCTTATGTTTGTTGTTTATGTTTATTGAATAGTAATGTCTAGTTTCTAATGAGCACACATTACCACCATCTCATTACACGGAGTTCTTTAAATCTAACAGAAGCAGAATGAATTGTAGTTTGCCAGAAAGTGGTTTACCATGTTGCTTGGAGGAGCAGCCCGTGTTCCATCTACTTAATGAAATGAGTGTCTGGCTGTCTTTAAACATGTTGCGTTCCCATAACATCCTAATGAGACTCTGCTTCTCATTTTGCTGCAAAGTTAGCAAAGAATCGGGTATAATATAATAAAAACAGGTGCATAATTAAAGTTTTAGAGGACCGCATGCACATGACAGCTCCCCCAAAACGCTATAAACACTGGAATAAGCCAACAAACTTTCATCCTTTGCCAGTCTTCCCATTGAAGTGGCTTTGCAAGCACATTTGCGCAGCATGTGGGGACATTGTTGCTTAGCCCCATTCACTCTGTTGTGAGCTAATACTCTTCATTGTATCCAGAAATACTTCATATACCAGGCTACACATGAGGACAAGTGAAAAGGTTACCAAAAACAATATACCAGCTAAATTGAATGAATATGATTTGAGTCTTGGAATTACTGTCAAGTTTGTCATTTGTTTCCAAGGATTAAGTCTACTTGTATAGCTGTAGACTAAATGCCTTTTGCTGTACGTCTGTTGTTTTCTCCTCTAACATCTTTCTTTATCAAATTCTGATTCAATTATAGCCTCAAAGTAGTTCCTACAAAGACAAAAAAGCAGTTAGACGGGTAAAGCTTGGCCTGTGTGCAGCCCATGTCACACCACTGAACCACCCAGGAGGAGAAGAAAGGGAAAGGGAAGATAAAAAGACATACTAACGCAAGAGAAGCTGAGAACTTAAACGATGGCAGAGGAACGTGCAGATGGGAGAGACCTGGTGACATATCCCACACACTCAGCCCATACCAGACCCGAGCTGATGTAATTAAATGATCTGCGAAGCTGGATGCTGACTAGCCACAGAGACATCTCTGGAGGTTGCTATGCTTCTTTTAAAAGAAGCATCGCAACCCCCAGAGGTTCTTGAAAAAAATCAACTGGGTAATGATCCATTACCCAGTTCATGGTTGTTATGTCAATCTGTATGGACTGTAAGTCATACATATGAACTAGTGTTGTTTTCTATGTGACCGGGAGAGGGGAGAAGCTGGGTTACTTTGTTTCTGTAGGATTTGCAACATTTTGTTTTATGTTTTGCTACTTAGTGCAGGCTGAAAATACATCTATTTGTAACTTATCTGTTTTAGCAGGTAACTAGTTCATTTTGGTGAAGGTTAGGAGATTCATGCTAAAGTTTGAAAATACATGACTAAGAAGAGTTTAGTCTTTGAAAAGTTTCAATTGAGTAGCAATGGTAGTATATTGTCGGGATGGAAATACTTCAACGCCTTTAGCCAATATTTCAAAACACATATTAAATGTATATTAAAACAAAGGTAAAGTTAGAACAACAACCACTAACATCATATAGAGCAAAGATCAATACACTGCAGACTAATTTCAGCTGTCACATCACTTTCTTTTCCAAATTTATAGTATTATAATAACATCAGAAGAGATTACAGTCGTTTAAAGCAGTTCAGCTTATGTGTTCAAGAAGTTGATTTAATGCAGAGGTAAATATATTCCATATTCTACTACAAGTCAAAACTGGATGACCAAGCCGAGCATCAACATCTGGTGATAGGTCACTGGTTGCAAGCTGCACTGTAGCAACCATTGCTCCTGACAGGACTAGTCATGGATGAGTGGTTGAAATAACACCACAAAAAGCCAAGTGGGAGACACATCCAACATATGGAAGAAGATGCTGTGATCAGATGAGATCAAATTTTTTTAATTTGCCATGTATGATGAGAAACCAGTACTGCTCAATCTCCTTACACCATTCCCACTGCATTCTCTGGAGATGCTTTTCTAAAAAAATTATGAAGTGTTGGAGTGAGCAAAAGACTTGCGGTTGATGTGGACGTTTATCTTCTATCAATTTAATTAAACATACTATACAAACTATTCCAAAACATCATAACTTGCTTATACGTATCAAAGACAAATGGGATGCTGTTCTCCTGGGGTTGTCATGGGCATTAGATTGTAAATCCAGGTCCTAATGTTCTATTACATCATTGCTTTGAAGGCTAAGTTCATCAACCCATTACTCGGTGTCTTTGCATATACTCTTGGAGACAGATGAAATGTTAAATGCGTACATACTATTTTCAAGGTCAGGTTTCTCGGCTGTGCATCTCTTCACATAAATCATCACAGTTTTGACAGAGAAGAAAAGTGCTCTAAAGTAAATAGGCAAGCTTGCCCCAACTGCCAAGACACTAGGAAAGCTTGGCCTGTCTTTCGTACTTTTACCTATTTGGCCCTTACTGCTATCAATGAGCTGTTTTATATTGCAATGTGATATTGATGGATTTGTAGAAGTTGTGATTCATTAGTTTCCACTGGTGTCTGTGCGATGCAGTGAGTGTTGGCACCTGTGTGCATTTCTCCATGCCTTCATTTATAACGGTCAATATATCTTAACTATTCCTCAGAATGTCCTTGATGTAACCATGTTTTTGTTTTTTTCCGTTTATAGGACCAAGCGACCTTCAGTACAGACAGCAGAGTGTATCTTTGAGCTTCCTCACTTCACTCTACAGGCCACCAGAGCCCAGACACTACTGCTTCAGGCCATTTACCAAAGCTGGATGCACAGTGTGGTGTCTGGAGTTCCACAACCGCTCAGCGAGAGTCTTCTCCAGGAGGTTTTCAAAGCTCCAGGTAAACCATATATATATATATTCCTGACTGAAATTTCTATCATGGATATTTCTATGTTCTTGTATTCACATTTTGTAGTATAGGAAATATTAGTTTTTCCATGGGTGTGATGCACTAAAGTTGTTTTTGTATATGAGGGTCAAAAGTGCAAGGCGTGTGAGCTGTGCATTTATTGGGCACTAGATATACAACTGGGAAAAAAACTCAACTGTTATGTCATTTTGGATGCCTTGATGGTCAAATAATAATTTTTGCCTTGTTAAAAAGGGAGAGGTTGCTTCGTTCAATGAAACAGTAGCGTTTCTCATGGTTGCATCTGGACAGTCCCCTGGAGACCTTAGGATTTTCCAACTCATTAGGATCATCTTGTTTGGTATGCCTTCAACGTTCCCCATACAGCAGGCTATTCACGCCGCCCTTTTATATTGTGTCACTGCCAAATGTATGAAATAGGTCTCCCATGAAGTGAAGTCAAATATTCCTCTTATTTGACTGCCATGAACTTGGAACAGGACTTGAGCAGCAGCATATGCACATCTGGACTGAGCACAGGCAATTTTCAAAAAGAATATGGTTGGAGAAGGTGAAAAGTGATGGTGGGAAATGTATGTGTTGTGCAAGTACTCTATAGTCAGAGTAATCTCTTCAATGAGTCTAATGACATAACCTCAATCATTATTGCATTTGTATGTAAAATTATGCTGACATAAGCTTTAATGCACATTCTACACTACCCTAACGCATTTACACAATATGAGCAATGGAAAAGAAAAAGAAGAAAGTTTGTGTAACCATTAACTTTACGTATTTGAGAGTTTCTTTAAGGGTATACACTGATGTCAGTCAGTTTGCACATGTGATGCAGCTATGCCAAATACTTTGTGGTTCCTGTGGGCATTACAGTTCTCTCCACACTGTGTAATGATGAAAACTTGACAGCTGTTTTTCTGGCCTGTTGCCTCCTTGCATTGCTCCAGGTTATTTTATGACAACATCGTTATACTTTTTGGATGCTGCCATATTTGGTTAGAACTTGACTGTTATTTCTCTTCCTTTATGATACATTATCAACACATTCATGATTATAGATCCCACAATTCTCCCACCATTTTTTTTTTCTTTCATGTACAGACTATAGGAACTAATTTGTGGCCATATTCAAGTGACTGAAGATTTGGTTTGGCTCCATTAGCAGCAGTTTGTAGTCCCACAGATGGGCCTTCCCCATGACCATTCCTCAATAGATGCCACTTCAAAGCCATTTGCTCCTGTCTGGCCCCGAACCAAACTTGTCGGGAAAGTAGGGATGCACCGATACCACTTTTTTCAATACTGATACGAGTACCTTAATTTTAGTACTTGCCTATACCGAATACCATTACGAGTACTGAATTGTGTTATCTATGGGAATTCATAAAACTAATACAACTGAAATCTAAAATGTTGTATTTCTCATTTCAACAATAAAAAAATGCTCTAACAATTAAACATTTTAGCAATTGTTTTAACAGTCAACAATAAGAGCCACTGTCATATTCCACTTAAACAAATGGTACAAAGAAATAGCTTCCATTTCGTACGATAAAAAATAGATATGTCTTACAACCTTGAATGACAAGAAAACAGAAATTGTATTGTTTGGGGAACCTGATCTGTTCGTTTTTCAATGATGTGTAGCCTTTTAAAATGGACAAACAAACGAGGGCTGTTGTCAAAGCCAACTTCTTCCAGTTGAGAGTTTTAACCAAAGTTAAGCGCTATCTGCCGCAAAATGATCTTGAGAAGGTTGTCGACGTGGAACACATTTGTTGCGTCGATTGAATCTTGTCCCCTAGATCCATGGGTGTCCTATTTCTTAGGGAGAATATCCTGCGAGTGCTCTCCCCTATGGAAGGGCACTTTTCTGTTGAGGCACTCGCATCTCGAGTGCCCTCAGAATTGGGACGGGCCCTCAAAGCCTTTGCTGTCCCAGGGTCCAAACTCTGGGACCCCTTATTGTGTCAGAGCTGCCCCCTCTCTAGGGAGCTTTAAACTGCAGCTAAAGACACATTTCTTTGCTCTGTGGACAAGTGGATAATCTTTGCACTGTATTTTACTTGTGCGTTATGTTGTGTCTGAAAAGCACATTGTGTGTCATGCCTGTTTTTAAAAAAAAAATGCTATATAAGTAAACTTGACCTTGATGCACTGAGTTTTTTTTTAAAGCTAGAGATTTTTTTTTACTTAAAGGTATATAGAAGAATTTTCCCTAATTTTAGGAAAAAACCGCCCTCTCCACCTTTTGAACAAAACTCCCTGGTCTTATTTGACAAACACATATCACCAGAATGATTGACAATTGGGAGGACCAATTATCTTGATGATCCACCCGGAAGTAAAAAATCCTTCTATATACCTTTTTAAATAAATAATATAAAAACAATATTGCTGAACTGCTAAATATTTGTAAACATTAATCAGCAGCGACAAATCAACTTAGATGAACTTTTAACCTGAGTAACCAATGTATTACGCTTGACATCTTTAGAGAAGCGAGAAGAGTTGGTTGTTTTTGTGCTCCGGTGCTAGCAAAGGTGTTACTCCGCATGGTGGTGAGTTTTCAGATGTTTGATCGAGTTGCTGCTGTTAGTTTTCCGACCCCCCCCCCTCGTGACAGTTTTGCCTTACACAACAAACAGTCCGCTTTACTTTTGTCACTCTTGTCCGCTTGCCATTAAACTAGGGGCTAAGCTAAGATGCCGCTAAGTGAGCACTTTCTCGCTGCCAACTTTGGGAACACGTGCCGCACAGCTGTCGTGACGCTATATAAATAAAAAATGTAGGTATCGGTTAGCGGCATCGGGTCCTATTGTATGAGTACGAGAAAAAGCCTATGGTACCGGTGCCGGTGTCGTATCAGTGCATCCATACAGGGAAGCATTAGTGATGAACGATTATTGGATATTCTCACCACCAACTTGTCTCTTTAAAGCGGCAAAATGTGACTCTGTGTGACTGTACATGTTTTTTTCAGCATCTACCAGCAAATCTCTTTAACTTTTCCCTCACAGTCTACTTCAGACCTTTATTAGTATTTCCATAATTGCTTCAGTATGAAGTCCTCTTAATTGTGGTAATTCGGTGGCAAAAAGAATTTAAGTTTGGATGAGTAGAGAACATGTGTCACAGCTTTTGCGGTCAGACAAAAAGGGAAGGCCGCACCTGGAAGGGATATAATCACCCAGGTTGGAGAATGCCTCAGGTTGAAGACTGCATCTAACCTGGTGCTGCCACTGATGCTTTTACACCACTATAACTTTCATACAGAACTCATACCTTTTATTTTTCTTTTATGGCGGATCTAAATGGTTTAGAATCTGATGGCAGATGTCCTGACAATTTTTTAGCACATGAAACTGGATTAGCTATAAATGATCTTGCTGATATTATAATATTTCTGTTCTGCATGTCTTGCAGTTCTCATGTTATGTGTTGGCAATTTTTAAAGTCAGGGTCAAGCCTGGGGTCTCCAAGATGGCGGCTCATTCAATTTGGGTAGCCCTCCTGTTCCAGAGGTGGAGGACCAGAGAAACAGCATTTACGCTGGAGGACAGCCTGCCGAAAATAACCAGAGTGAGACGAATTTGTTCCACAAAAGTGTGGCTATAGAAAACTTCTGGGTTAAAAGAAATGTCATGTTAGCATTAAGGTCCATGGATAACTTCTGTGTAGCCCTCGCAAATTTGGGTTCAGTACAGCGCATGGCCTTTGACCAGGGACTGGAGACCAGCTAAAGCTAGCAATACCCTATTCGGATATTATAATAGATCTATGGTTAGGGTATGCACAATATACTGCAATATTTTTGCAATTTTTTACCATTTCATAATCAATGAACCAGTTTATCTGTATGTGTGTGTGTGTGTTAAGGCTGGGCATGATGCCAACACACCTCCTGTTCCTACTTACTGTTTTTACTTGAGCCCCTCCTAACTTTGGAGCGACAGTTATTGTTTCTGCATCAGCACTTAATGGCTCAGCTGGCTGCTTTCAGTCTACCTAACCTGTCTGTGACTACCTTGTTTCTGTCGGACCCCTAGCTGCTGTGGGCCCAATGCCAAGTTCCAAGTTGTTAGAACTGTCTACTGTCTCGACTGTAAGAGGAAAATAATAAGCTTGTGTGATGCAAAAGAGCAACATGAATATAACTGTATGCCTTCTCTCTGGCTGCTAACAACTTTTTCTGTCATCAGTTCAATACATTATAACACGCATCTTGGTTTCCCACTTAAAATGACTTGCAGACTTCTGTATTTACAATTAATTCTTATTGACAGATAGTAGCTTTTCAGACTGACCTAAGGTTCTGCATTAGTACTTAACACTTTTTTTGGCATCTAGTAGTCTTCCAACACTTGTACGCATTTCCCTTGTGTGTAGTTAAAGCTGGGATACTTAACTTTTTGGTTTCATCACTAGTTTTCACTTGTTTTTTTTTGGCCTCTGCACATCTTTAAATCAGCTTTTTCAGACTGAAAAGTGAATAAGAGAAGGCTACTCTTGCTCAGCTAATCAACTCTTAATAGATTCCTTACTGATTCGTAATGTTTGAATTATATATGTCACCCTGCTCACTTCCTCTTGTGTGTAGACCTTTCTGACACAGCTTTAAGCAGGCGACTTTCCCATACCAATTCAAAGCTGTGGGCACTGGACATGTTGGAATGTGTTATATGTTTCTTTTATGTCTGCAGATGTCATACATGGAGACAAATACACACAGAAAATTGTGTGGTTCACCTTGTGTGATTGATAACTGATACTAATATCTACAGGAAGAAGGAATATTTTGAATTTGACTAATATTTATAGTCATCTTTTAATTTGATTCTAGTTCTGCTGACCCCATGGGGATGAGAAATCCAGCTGCCCATGTGTGCCCTCGCACCAGTTGATTGAGTGCTGCAGGCTCTGGCCCCAAGCTGTGTGTTTATGTTCTGGTTGCACCTGCCTTTCACTGGAGGAACAGCTACCCCACCACACACATTTCACTCAGTTACTCACAGTCACTCGAAGGGACCTCCGCACACATTACTAATGTTTCTCACACACTTAGCAGAATAAAAGTCGAGAAACTACCGCTGCTTTTCCCGCTTCCTGTGTACCATACTTTTTATAGTTCTAACAGCTGGTCAAAACATTGTCCAGAGCCCCCGTTCTGCAAAACTGCTGCCACCCCCAGCAGGTGCACGGTGCCCTTTAGGACATTGACGTGGCCAGGGCTGTGGTATCGTGATACCCCAGCAACACTAAAGAGCAGACCAGCCTCTGATGTTCAAGATATGAATCTCTAAAGTATTTTAACAGCGATTACTCATAGTGGTATTTCTTACTTTCAAGTGGCATCAAAGGTGAAAAGGAAAAAAGGAAATGTTTTGACCAATTTTTCCTTATAGCATTTGTTAGGTGCATTGCAATAATGTAATAAGTTCACATCACAAGACTTACAGGTGGATTAAGCAGAGGGCAGCAAGACATAAATGGAGCTATTAGTGTCCCTTCAGAGGCCCCTTGGGCAGCAGGTGAAGAGGATGCTGGCCGGATAATTTGTCTGGGCAGAGGAGGGAAGTCAGCGTTTAGAAAATTCTTGGGGGTTAAATGATCTTTGGTCCATGTGTCTGCTGATTTCCTCTTTGTATTTCTAATTATCAGTTCTCTTATATAAACATCAGCTTCATGAAACAAATTTGACTGCCCTCACAGTAATGCTGGTAGTTGCATATTATATTATTCTAAATCTGAAAAAAAAAAAATGTTGTTGATGCATGTTGAGTGTGACTGAATTTAGATAACAAATGCATTCTATAACACATGTACATTAGTTGCAATAAAATATTAACAGCACCTGTTTCTGCTGAGAAACGGCAAGACCAATTAGGATCCAATCAAGAGAAGCACCAGCAGCACCTATTAAACGTGCTGGACCTCACTTCATTTTAGTTTTGTGTTTTTTCTTTATTAGGTGTGAAATCTCAAGGCCTGTCACCAACTCTCGAGGGCTCGCTCCAAAACCTGGAGTTGAAATTGTGCAGTCGTGCGACGGTGAAATGTGCGTCTGGGACCGTGGGAGCTGTAAAAGTGTGCGCCAGGACTCCAGGTGTGTGCAGCTGTGGCCAGTTAAAACTTTACTATTCCAGTGTGTAGGATGGACAGACAGACAGACAGACGGACTAGGGGTGACCAGATTCCTCCATTACATTCTGGAATCCAATATTCACGCCACATTTAAGTAAGAACCCAACTTTCCTCTGTTTTGGATAATGTGTGCTTGGGTCATATTGACTTTGCCAATAAAAAAGATGAAAACACAAAAAATAGGCAAAATTATCTCCGGAGATGATAAAGAAACTCATCCACTATACATCTAAAAAACATCATTTTTGTCATTTTAGTGTTATACATAATTGTTAAGGGAAAACACACTGCATGACAATTACGCGTGCATACAAAACATATCACAAATGAACAACACACTCTGACAAATATCCAAGAAATCTATGAACATACGCTCATACTTACCCCTTGTGCTACCCTCAGGTCAAAGTGATTAATAATACCCCCTTTAGACCCTAACTTATTGTATTTACCCTAATTTTGGGTCTAAAAGGATCTAATGACCCATGGAAAAAGTTCAGCTTGAACATTATTTTTTAAATAACTGTGGAGGGTCTATTGTCTATTGACTCGTGGATAAACATATGCACCAATATATATTTTGCATTATAGATAATAACATGTTCAAAACCTCTGTAATCCCTGTTCTCTTTACTAATGTTTCAAATGCATTGTCCAGGTTCGGCAGAGGGAGTGAAGGAGAAGCTGGTTCCTCTGATCCAGGGCCCTTCTGACACCAAAGAGCTGCACATGAGCCGTTGGCTTAATGAGATCCGCAAGCCCGAATCTTTGCTGGCCCCTGACCTGCTGGCGTTCTCTGTGCAGGTCCCGCACAACACAGATGATTGCAGGAACTCCGGTAAGAAGTGTTAAGAAATGACTTCCTTCACTTCGCCTTTCCTTTTATGCGTCCAACGCTCCTTCCACCACATCCATCATCACAGTCACTTATTTCTCAAAGCTAAGACAAATAGTTCAATGTGTGGTATATACTAGGAAATACATATATGCGGTTAGACACGGTCAATAATTTATATCCCTCCGTTTGCTATTTTATTGTCAGTTTGACTTGAATTGAAGTTGTCAATATGGCCATTAATGCTTTGTCTTTGGATACTTTGTGATTACAGGGTCTCTGATTCATATTTGCTAAGGGTTGTATTTATATATCCATCCAGGTGCTAAACTGTGTGTGCAAAGTATAATAGCATGTGCAATTTTAGTGGTTTACTTTAGCTGATATGCAAAAAATACATTGTGCTATTATGTAATCATCATTATTTATATTAGTATCTGCTGTTATTAGGCCTGGTGAACATAAAAATATTGTTCAACAGTCCTTATAACAGACTTGGCAAATGTCACTCACGTGTAATAAGTTCATATTCACCTTTGTTTGAATAATACATATTTACACAGCACATGACCTACACTAATGACAGAATACACAGAATTTTGTGTATTCCTTTTTCATTAGCAGTGGCACCGGCAAATTTCAGGAGTTTTATCTTAATTTCACTAGTTTGGACTCGTTTGGTTTTACGTGATTGCTCAGTATTGTTTTTCTGATCATGTTAATCGAATTAAACCTTATTTTAAACTCACTTCACTTAAAAATTTACAGTATTACTTATCATTTATATCACACATACCTAAACTTCACAAGAAATAAGAACAGTAATACATATGAATATAAATAAATAAATGAAACATAAAAAAAAGTCTAGAAAGTTATTGGCGTAACTATATAATACACATTTCGGTGTCAGCAGTAGATAATAAAATTAAAATCATAACATAGTGAGTAATAAGATGATCAAAAATAGAATAAAATAAACCTGGAGGCGTAATTTCACTTGGTTTGGAGGTATTCACTGATGTGTATATTTTAATTTAGCAGCAGAGTATATGAGCAGAATAAGCAATAGTAATAATAGATAGATTATCATATGAATGGAGAGATATTAGATGAATGAATATGTAGTAATGCACTAATAATAATACCAACGGGTTTAGTGACAAGTGAATTATTATCAGAACAGGTCAGTGGCACGTGTACAGACTCTGCAGTTCTCGTTGTACAGTCTGACAGCTGTAGGGAGGAAGGACCTGCGAAATCTATCCTTCACACAGCGAGGATGATTACGTTTGTCACTGAAACTGCTCTCCATAGCGTCCTGCAGAGGGTGAGAGTCATGGTCCAGCATAGATGTTAGTTTAATAAGCCTAAACCCTGTAAGCCTTCAATAAGTGGTCTATTTGTGCGGTGGGATCATACTAAAAGTTACTTCATGTCTTGTTCTGTGTGATTACAACACTGGCTCAGTTCTTGAGGAATGTGGAAATCCACCCCTTAATTTATTTAAATTATCTGGAAGACATACGTATTCTGTTGGTATTGTTATGCATACATATACACATACTCATACCTACAGTACTCTTACATATACAGTCACACTCCACATACAGTCCACGGGCATATTGTTGAGTCCTCACATCAGTCGGCTAATGGTTTCAAAGGTTTGAACTAAATTTAAAGGTACACTGTGTAATTTTAGTACCATCCAGGGTTGAGATCTTACATTGCAGTCCAATATAGTACGCTATAGTAGCCTATGAGTTGAGGCAATCTGGTTATTCACCAGACTGCCAAGGAAAGAATACTTTAGTTTGATAAATGACCGGATCTCTCCAAACGTCTCGGGCACTTGACAGTCGCGTAGAGGCGACATGTAAACAAGACCACGCACAGAGGCTCTGAATTTTACCACGGATCTATTAATATATATAGTTTTACAAACGTGGTGTGAAGAGAAGAGATGCATGGAGAAATGTGGGAGCTTAAAACTACAATGATCAAAGAAGCAGGAGATAACACCGCCACGGCAGGACATGGCTAAAAGCTCATGTTAGCTTTAGCGTTAGATTCAGATTCAGTTTATTTGCCAGTTGCAGTAAAAACACCACATTGGAATACATTAGCAAAAAGTATCCAGTGTGCACAGACAAAAACAGACATAAAACAACATTAAAAGACAGAAATAAAACAAATAAAACAGTAAACAAATGTCACTGTGAAATTGATCGTCTAAAACAGTTTCAAAACAAGTGCAAATCATTAAAGTGCTCTGTTCACACTGATAACAGCTTGTGGATAAAAACTGTTAGCGTAACGAGATGTCCTGCATCTCAGAGAGCGATATCTTCTGCCAGAGGGAAGAAGCTGGAACATGGCTTTTCCAGGGTGGCCAGAAGAGTCATTAACAATCCTAAGAGCTTTGTTTAAAAGTCTGGATTTATAAAGAACCTCCATAACAGGAAGCTCACAGCCCACGGTCCTCTTTGCAGAGCGGAGTACCTTGTTTAAAGCTCTTTTCTTTATCTGTGATGTTTCCAAACCACACAGACACAGAACCAACAAGTAAACTCTCAATGGTGCAGCGATAAAAGTTAAGCAGAATCTTAGAGTTAGTGGTACATTTTCTGTGTTTACGCAGAAAGTAGAGACGCTGATGAGCTTTCTTAACGACTCGGTCAGTGTTTTTAACCCATTTCAGGTCGTTAGACAGAGTTAAACCCAGAAACTTGCACTCCTCTACGATCTGCACCTGGGAGTTGTCGATTCCGACAGGCAAATGAGAACTATTGCGACTGAAGTCGTAGACCAGTTCACATGCTTTCGATGCGTTCAACTGGAGGTTGTTAGTTTTACTCCACTGAACCACATTTTGTATCTGGGCTTGTTCACACTAAAGGGCACAAAAGTGTGACAAAAGGCCAAAAATTAGATTTTAATAATCATAAGATATTTTATGTTTTTCATGTTTCCAAGCACCTCCTCTGTTCATTAGAAGTTGCTAGAACATAACTGTTTTATACATTAGACAAGTTTCCTATAGCGGCCCTGTTTATTTTATCTAACGGACGTGATGATTTGATCATATTGTCAACCAATTAAATGTGAAAACAGACAAGATTTGTTTCTTTCTCAAGTTTAAATTTTAGAGAAAAGAGGACCGTCCTCATCACGTCCGTGATACATTTTTCAGGGGTCATTTAATTAATTAATTATTTTTTATTTTTTAACGATTCCTTTTCATATCAAGTGATTTCCTGATGTTGTGTTAACCATGTAAATCTTGTGGGATTTCATCTGCCGCTTTTTCAGACTGAGGACATTTTATTTTCTATGTAACTGGCGTCACAGTAGAATGTTCAAAAAAGAGGCTGATTTTGTCGTTTAAAATGTCACTAAAAATATATTTGACAATCTTTCCTTTTGATTTTATCCACACTATCTCTTTGATGTGTCTGTGTTTGAAATCTTTTTTCCAATCTATGATGGTGATTTTAGTTTTTAAGTTATAACCTTTTAAAGTCGAGATACTTCAATTGACACTTAACTGTGAACACACATATATCTCTGCTCTAATAGAGGATTTGTCATTGTTACTGATGAGACCGATGATGGTGGTGTCATCAGCATATTTGATGATCAAGTTTGAGTCAGAGGAGGACACACAATTGTGAGTGTACAAAGTAAAAAGCAAAGGACTCAAAATACATCCCTGAGGAGAACCAGTGCTCACAGAAACAACATCAGAAAAACAGTCATTGATTTTCACTCTCTGAGATCTGTCAGTTAAAAAGCTAAAAATCCATTTACACATGGCAACACTTAAACCGAGAGACATGAGCTTTTCAATCAGTTTACCAGCGCCCTATCTGCATCACGGTAAGAAAAAGAACATTCACTCACGCTGCTGATGAAGTATTCTGGCGATTGTTTGGTGGGGATTCTGTGTGTGTTTTATTTGAGGCCTTTTCCCTGAATAAGTTTAGTTGAATCTTGTGACATAGTAGTTGGACTGTGCTCGGATCGGGTCAGAACATCCTGAAACTGTGTTGTAGAGTTTGCCTCGTTCTCATTATTGTCAGGGTGAAATTGACAATACGTTAAGTCAATCGGAATATTATGGCTGGACGATATAATGCTGTTCACTCACTTTTGGTCTGACCGAATGGATAAACAGCGGCTGCGAACACCGCTTTAGAGAAACTACAAGCTTCCCAACTAAGCTAACAGTCCTTTTTCAAGTTGTGCAAAACTTCAGAGCAGGTGTTTCATGGCAAACGGTGTAGGTGGAAACCTCAGAAAAACGTGTTTGATGGTGGTAAGCTTTGGTGGCTTCCGCTCTGGTTAATGATTACAGCCGCTTGTGGGGAGATACATTTAAGCTGGTCCAACTTTTTGCAGTTTCATAAATACATTTGTTTGTCCCAACAGGAAGAGTCCCAACAAAAAAGTCACACCACAACATGCTTCTTTCTCTTATTAGGAATGTGTCTACCTTATACAGTGCGAAAGTATTTGCCCCCCTTGAACCTTTCAACATTTCGCCACATTTCAGGCTTCAAACATAAAGAGATAAAATTTTAATTTTTGTCATGAATCAACAACAAGTGGGACACAATCGTGAATTGGAACAAAATGTATTGGATAATTTAAACTTTTTTAACAAATAAAAAACTGAAAAGTGGGGCGTGCAATATTATTCGGCCCCTTTACTTTCAGTGCAGCAAACTCACTCCAGAAGTTCAGTGAGGATCTTTGAATGATCCAATGTTGTCCTAAATGACTGATGATGATAAATAGAATGCACCTGTGTGTAATCAAGTCTCCGTATAAATGCACCTGCTCTTTGATAGTCTCAGGGTTCTGTTTAAAGCGCAGAGAGAACCATGAAGACAAAGGAACACACCAGGGAGGTCCGAGATACTGTTGTGGAGAAGTTTAAAGCCGGATTTGGATACAAAACGATTTCCCAAGCTTTAAACATCTCAAGGAGCACTGTGCAAGCAATTATATTGAA